GAAATATGGTCGTGTTCTGTTTATCCCCAGAATGGGTGCCAATCTGAATTGGTGGAGGAATTTTCCTGACCTGGGAGTTCTAAGCACCAATGAAATCATAGGTGTAGAGAAAAAAAAAGTTCAACATATTGCAGCCTAGCAAGGATGCTCTGAGCCTGATTTCATTATTTCTCTTTGGTCAATGAAGATACAGGACCCTGAGAGGCCCTCACCTCTCAGTGACTTGCCGAAGGTCACATAATTAATTGGCTCTAGACCCTCCCTCATCCCCCAAGCTTTAACTTCCAGGCTGGTGCTCTCCCCACTCCACTGTGGAGCCTGCTCCCTCTTCCCCATCCAGCTTGCGTTGAAAGCCTCTGTATGTATTAGACAGACTGGGGTGGGGGAGGGGGGAGTTGGTAGGAGCTAGAAGAGGAGCGTCTCCTGGGTGGCCTGGATATGATTCATAACCAGATTTTGTTTGTTAAGAGCTGAGTTTATAGTTCAATGACTGCCCTTTCCCACCCAATCAGGCCTGCTCCATATTCATGAGGCCTCCATTAGCAGCCCTTGGTTCCAAGAAACAAGGGCTTTGAATGGGGCTTCTCTGCCTTTCCTGTTTAACTTTCTGGCTGATTAGAGGCATCCAATTAACTCCACTGAACAGATCTTAATAAGCTCCTTCCCAATGGCTTCCAACCTCCTTAGAAATTACTCTCATGCCCCTATGGGGTCTGACTCCCTCATCCCTCCCTTGCTACCCGCCTGTCTATGCCTGGGCTGCTCCCTTGCAAGCACATCAAGGTTGGCCAGATGGGACTCCCCTTCAGAATAAGAGTAACTGACATTTATGTGGTGGTTTAAGGTTTCCAAAGCACTTTACATATCCTGTGTGAGAATAATAATAGCTAACATTTACATAGTGTTTTAAAGTTTCCAAAGTGCTATATTATATTATAATAATAGCTAACATTTATGTAACATATTAAGTCTTCTAAAGCATCTTATAGCAAGAATTTATGGTTATACCTCATTTGATCCTTACAACAACCCTGGGAGGGGGGTGCTATTATTATCCCCATTTTACAGATGAGGAAACTGAGGCATACAAAGGTGACTTGCCCAGGTCTGAGGCTGGATTTAAACTTAAGTCATCCGAAGGCCAGGTTTACAGCTCTAACCACTGGGCAACCTAGCTGGCGTTCATCCACAGCTTCACTTGCAGTGTCTTGTCCAATCCATAGAATGCTTTCTTCTAAAGCTATTTTCTTTTCTTTTCTCTTATTTATCAACCCATTAGGTTTTTATATCTCATTCATTTCCAAGACTCTCCTCTCACTCCCTTCCTTTCCACTGAGTCAGCTGCTCTAATAGACAAAAAGGGAAAGTTTTCACTTTTATCTTCACAATTCAGAGGTAAGTACTCCATGCATCACTGTTCCCATTTAACAGATGAGGAAACTGAGGTGAAATGGTCACCCAGCTAGTAAGATCAGAAGTGGGATTTGAGCTCAGGTCTTACTGACTCACAGTTCCAATACTTTACCCCAGCTTACCAGGTAGACAATGTGGCCAGAGAGAATTGTACTCAATAATCTATCATGAACAAGCATTTATAAAGTTCCTACTATGTGTTAGGCACCGAGAACACAAAAACAGAAAAGAGACCTCAAAGAACTTACATTCTAGGCAACAAGCATTAATTAAGCACCCACTGCATGCCAGACACTGTGCTAGATGCTGGGAATGCAAAGTCAAAGGTAACACCATCCCTCCTCTCAAAGAATTTACATTCTTTTGAGGGAGACAATATAGGGATAGGGTCTGGACCTAGTACTACTGTTGTGTAGGGAACTCCCAGATGAGGAAACTCGGGCTACTGGTGCAGATTGGCTACTTTTTTGCAACTTACAGCCTTGGAGAAATGTCTGGAGCACTGTGAAATTAAGTGACCTTCCTAGGGTCACACAGGCAGCATATGTCAGAGGCAGGCTCCTCCTCATTTCAAGGCTGACTCTCCACTATGCCATACATGCTGCCCTCTGATAGGCTATTCACAAGTAGAACACACAAAAATGTACAAAACCAACACATAATGATGATGTGTGCATGCATGCGTGCATATTTGTGCAAGTACACGTGCATGTGTGTGTGTGTGTGTGTGTAGAGGAAGCAACAGAAGCTGGCAGGAGGTGCCTCAGGAGAAGCCTCCTGTAGGAGATGGGCATGAGCTGAGTCTTGAAGAAAATGAATGATTTTATTTGGTAGAGGTGAGGAGGGAGAGCACCCCAGGTGCAGGGCATAGCCAGGTTTACAGCCGAAAGCAACTAGCAGCCCAAAGCAAGGGAACTCATGGTTTCTCTGCGGAAGTATCCTGTCTTCCGTATTCTCTGGTCCCTGGGTTGGGCATGGTGGTGGGGAATTCTAGGATAAATGAGATACCTACCTCTATCCCTAAACCTGCAATTTTCGTGACAACCTCACCATAACATTCTAGGAATTCATGTTTCAGGGATGGGAATGCCTGGTCCTTCACCCCATTTTAAGAGGAGAACACTGAAGCCCACAGAGAGATAGGTGACTTGTTTACAGTCCCACCACTGGGCAAAAACAGAATCAGGATTCAAACCCAATTCCTCTGGCTTACAATGGGAATCTCTTTCCTCTCCATGCTCCCACCTTCTCCTCTTGTAACCATCTCCTAGGTTTTCATCAGCTTGTATGGTCACTTTGTAGCATGACTTAGGGTCACATTAAGGTAGTAGAAGCTCTAATGAGGACCCAGGAGGTCTTTGTTTTTCCTTCTGACTCTGCTGTTCTCTGGCTGTGTGACTGTGGTGAGTCACTGCTCATCTCTGGGTCTCCCTTTTCTTCCTCTGTAAAGTGGGTATTTGTAATACGTGCCCTGCCTAGGCACAAGAGCCCTGGGAGCAGCAGCAAACCCCTCCCTATCCCAATCCCCAACTAGTCCTCTACTCTCACTACCTTCATCTAAGGAAGTGACTGCTTTGGAGAAGGGGCCAGCCATTCCCACCAATTGCCCACCAACTATCACACCAACTACCACACACAGCCCAGACAAGTCAGTCTAGCTAAAACGTTAAGGTACCTTTAGGGAAAGAGGCAAAAGAGGGTAGTCAGACTTATCTCATATTCTCTGGCTCATTGCCCCATCTTGGAATTTGAGGAAGGAAAATCTTTTAAACAAAGCTTAAGTATTATTCATATCTAGGTCTCCCCAAAAGGGATTAACAGGCTCCCTTCTAGAAAGGTAGTTATTGAACAAACTAGTAGGTATCAGGTATAGGACAGCTATTTATTTCCTCTCCCACACAATAAATGCTTAAAACACACAAGACTAAAAAGCTTAGTTAAGAAATACTTAACATTAAATGGTAACTCATCATTCCTATTATACTCTCCTGGGAGGCAAAGATAACTTTGTAGACCTGCAAAACAGTATGTTATTTTCACCTCTTATTTTCACCATCTTTGCAGTTCAGAATTTGGACCTCCTGACAAGTTAGGACTTCATTTGTGCTTTACCCCTTTGACCTGCAGATTAGGGAAGTCTCAGGAAACACCTCACTCTGAGTAACCAGTCCTTGACTCAGAAACTTGTAAGGTTACTGGCAGGACTGGCAATGAATATTTCTTAGGATTAGTAGGTAGTCAGTGATCTGAACTCAAGAAAAGACAAATGAAATAGAAGAGGCAGCCAGGGACTTGAGGCACAGTCTTGGGCTTGCCTAGGTAAACACATTCCTTGTGGTCACTATTATTGATAGGAAAGGGGAAAGAGAGAGAAATCCCTTCTTCCTTCCCCATCTGTTTCTGGAAGTCCAAGGGGGAGCTGTGTTAGCTGTGTCCCAACAAAGGGGGCACTTCACAAAAGACTAGAAGGCATACCTCCTCCATCCTTTAGCCTGAAGAGACGGTCAATTCTGCTTAGTGCAACCCACAGTCAAAGAGGTCATGGGACCAATCAGCTGCTGCTTGTGAATGCTCTTCAGCAAGGGCACGGAGACAAATCACACGGGCTCCCCTACTCCAAAAGATCAGGGAATTCCCTCGATCACATGCTCATCCATGTCCTTCCCACCTCCCACATGCTTATATGGATACATGTTTTCTTCCTCGTTAAATTATAACCTTCTTGAAGGCAGGGCTGTTTCATTTCTTGTACTTGTATCCCCAGTGCTTGGCATATAGTAAGCACCTGATAAATGTATGTTGATTAATTGACTGATAGATTAGAAATTATTTCAGAACTTAAAACACAATATCTAACTCCAAGGTTACAAATCTGAATGACTGGAAAGATGGAGGAAATTTGAAAAAGGGAAGTTAAGAAGTGTGGGTTTGGAGGCAGGTGAAGGTAATGAATACCATGGAGGAAACATTGAGTTTGAGATGGCTATGGGAAATCCAGTTGGAGCTGTCCAAAAGGCAGTCAGCTTCCTATAGGACTAGAGCTCAGCAGAGAGACTAGGGCTGGATTTACAGACAAGATGCACCTAGGGGCAGAGCTGGAAGTGTACCTTCTTCCCACCCTTACACATCCCCTTAAGCCATCAATTTTCCCTTGGGTGAGGTTAAAAGATGCCCCTAATAAAGGTATTTTGCTTCCAGTTTCTGGTCTGTCTCATTCTTCTCCAAAACCTCTTTAAATCCCATCATCAAGAGGTCATCTCAGGGTTTACAGGACTTGGGTTTGAGCCCTCCTTCTTCCACTTATGGTCTATGTGACTTTGGTCAAGTTGCAGAAGTCCTCTGAGCCTCAGTTCTTGGGGAGGCTATATGATTCAGCAGAAAGAGCACTAGCTTTTGGAGTCAGGGACCTAGGTTCAAATCTCACCTCTTAACACTTATTGTCTTGACCAAATCCCTTATTCTCCCTGGGCCTCAGTTTCTCATCTGTAAAATGAGGGGGTGGGCCTTTGAAGGTTACTCTGAGATCTACATCAATGATCTATGATTGAATTAAACTGAGCCTTAAACTGTTTCCTTTACAGTGAGGAGAGAAGTGGCAATTCAAGAAGTCATAGCTTGTGAAAAGTGACAACTTTTCTGCTGCAACAAACAGCAGACATCCACAAGGAGCAGCTCTCAAAATAACCCCCAAGGATAACAAATGAATGAAGATCTCGATTCCATTGAGTATGGAGACAAGGAAGATTTTGTGGTGAATTTGCAGAGAAGGAGCATTGTTGACATTGCTGCCGAAATCGAGTAACAGTCACTTAAAGACAGAGTGGAGGTTGGTTTCTCTCCAAAGGAGGGAGGGATGGATCAGCCAGTCAGCAAGCATTTGTTAGGTGCCTACTCTGTGCCAGGCACTGTGTTAACCACTGGATAGTGTTTATGTAGAACTGTAAGGTTTACAAAGTGCTATTCATCTATTGTCTCATTTAATCCTCATAGAAACTCTGGGAGGTAGATGCTATCATCGTCTCCCTTTTTCCAATGAGGAAACTCAGGCAAATAGGGGTAAGTGACTTGCCTAGAGCCACACAGCTAGTGTCTGAGGAGGGACTAGAACTTAGGTCTTCCTGACTCCAAGATCAGCTTCTTACCCACTGTGTTATCCATTTGCCCCAGACACCTAGAGGAATATATTTCTCCTTATCAGGTTATCAGGGGGGTGGTCTTGAGTTGAGTGCCCTAGGGATCTATACTTGGATCTGTGCTATTAGGCACATTCACAAATGATTTAGATGAAGGCATGGACGAAGCACTTATCAATTTACAGATGCCACAAAGCTGAGTGGGATTGCTAACAAGATAACAGAATCAGGATCCAAAAGTATCTAGACACACTGTAGAAAGTTGAGCAGAATGTCATGAGATGAAATGTCATTGGGAGAAATGAAAAGTCTTACACTTGCATTAGAAAAATCAATTTTCCCAGGACAGCAATGGGGGAGGTGTGGCTAGCCAGCCACTGAAGAAGATCCAGGAATTTTTAGTGCATCATACTAAGCACATGTGTGAAACGCCAGTCAAGCTAATGCAATGATAGTAATAATATTAACAACAAGAATAATTAGTATTTATAAATGCACTTTAAGATTTGTAAAGCACTTTACAGGTATCATCTTATTTGGTCCTCACAGAAACCCTGAGGTGGGTTATTAGTGTTTCCATTTTATACTTTAGGAAACTGAGGTGTGACTTGCCCAAGTTCACACAGCTAGTAAGTGTCTGAAGCTGTATTTGAATTCAGGGCTTTCTGACTACAGGTCTCATGTGACCCCCCCCCCCCCCCGCAATACACTGCAGTGGCCCTATCACCTCTGGGATCAAATCCCAAATTCCCTGCTTGGCATTTAAAGTTCCTCATAACCTAGCCACCCACCTACCTTTCTAGTCTTCTTACAACTTACTACCCTTCTACTATTCTTCCGTCCAGTAATATTGCCTTCCTGATTTTTTCTGCAAACAAACTCTCCAACTCTTGGCTCTGTGTATTTTCTCTGGCTGTCCCCCATGCCTGGAATGCCGGCCCTCCTCATCTCCATCTCCTGGCTTCTGTTAAATCCCATCTCCTACAGGAAGCCTTTCCCTACCCCTCTGAATTCCAATGCCTTCCCTCTGTTAACGATTTCCCATTTATCCTGTTGATGACTTGCTTTGCGTATGTTTGTTTGCTCATTGTCTCCCCCCCCATCAGATTGTGAACTCCTCAAGGGTAGGCACTTTATTTTGTCTTCCTTGTATCCCCAGCTTGGCACAGTGTCTGGTACATAGTATGTGCTTAATAGGTGTTTATTGACTGACTCTACCCACTACACCAACCTCTGGATGCACTTAGAAGGGCATAGTACAGAAGAAAAGTAAATGATGGCATTGTTGTTCTCCACCAGGCTCAGATCACATCTAGAAAATTGTTCAGTTCTAGGTGCCATGGTTTCAGAAGGGCATTGATAAGCTATGCAGCATCTAGAGCAAGAAGCCATGATGGTGGCTGGACTAGAGGCTGTGTGATATGGGCACTGATGGCCAGAACTAGAGGCCTTTACCCCAGAGAAGAAAAGACTGGGCTGGTAGGGTTGGCGGGGTGGTGGGGAAGGGAATGGTAGCTGTCTTCAAGTATTTGAAGGGGAATAGGTGGACAGACTGGCCTCCTTTCAGCTTGAGCCCAGAGGAAAGAACTAGAAGCTATGGGTGGAGGTGGCAGAGGGACTGATTTGGGGTGAATGTAAGGAAAAACAAAAGAAATTTCTAAGGAGTAAAGCAGGCTCCAAGTAGAAGATACTACCTGGAGAAAAGGTGGGTTCCCTCTCCCTTAGAAGCTTTCAAGTCTTGGGGGAGGGGGAGGTCTGCACATGACTCCTTCTGGGGGTCATGTTGGAATTATTCTAATTTAGGTGCACATTGGATTCAGGTGTAGTCTCTTTCAACACTGAGGTTCTGTGGTTTTCACAAGATGAAGCAATGAGCAGAGTCCTGGGCCAGGAGTCAGGAAGACCTGAGTTCAAATCCAGCCTTAGATGCGCATGTGACTCCAAACAAGTCACTCAATCTCTGCCTTGATTTCTTTCACTGTAAAATGGGGATGATAATAATAACACCTACCCCCAAGGTTTGTTGTGAGGATCAAATGAGGTAATATTTAGAGAGTTTGTAGCCCAGTGTCTGGAACATAGTAGGCATTTAATAAATACTTCTTCTCTTCTATTCCTTATTCCCAACTCTGTTACTATTTGTTTGAATTCAGGCAAATCACTGTTTTTTTTGAGCCTCAGTTTACCCTTCCACAAAATGAAGACCTTGGACTGCAGATGTCTAAATTCTCTTCCAGCCCTAGACAGTATAATTCACACTCTGTGGACATTCAGGTAAGGGAGAGGAAAATGTGTGGGCTCTGACTGTGGGGAGAGAACCTCATGAGTCTGATTCAGGCAAGGGTCATGATTAACTTCACTGAGGAGTTTGAGAGTTTCTAGGACATGCAACCAAGATTGGGAGAGGCCCAAGCTACCAGGGGATGGATGGGAATGTTAGCCTGGAGGAGAGGACTCGGTTAAGACAGGAAAAGGATCTTCAGTATTGAATCCTGCCTCAGACACTTTCTGGCTAACTGGGTGACCTTGGGTAATTCTCTTAATCTCTCTGTGCCTCACTTTCCTCACCTACAAAATGAGGGACTCAGACTTGATGGCCTCTAAGGTCCCTTCTGCCTCAAAATCTAAGGATTTACTTCAAAGAGGGATTAGGTTTTGGACAGTGGGACCCTTGATTTAGAGCCGGGAGGGACATAAAAGGCTGTTTCCTCCAACCTCCTCACTGTACACATGAGTAGACTGAGGCCCAGAGACAATAGGTGAGTTGCCTATTGTGACATCGGTAGTAGGTGACAGAATTCAAACCCAGGGCTTTTGACTAAATCCTGTGTTCTTTTCACCATACAATCAAGAGAACAGAACCAGGTGCAATATTTGGATAGAGGATAAGGGTGTGGGGAGGTGCAGAAAGGCAGACTTAGATCTGATGGAAGGAAAAGCTTCCTAACAATGAACAGAAGCTTTGAAAGCATGCTTAGAGCATTGGCAATGGGGATAAGCTGAAAGCTGTTCCATCTGGCTGAGCTCCTGGCCCTGTCTCTGAAGCCTTGGGGTTTCTGGGGTTCCCTTCCTTGCCTGAGAATGTGTCACATGTCTTCATCCCCTGGAGGATGTGGCTTCTGGAATGTCCCATATCTTACTTTGGATAACAGGGACTGTCAACTAAAAAAAAATGTTTCCCTAGTGATTATTAGCACAGGGCTTTGCACTTGTAAGGGCTTAACAAATGCTTGCTCTTTCCTACCTTTCTTTTCTCCTTCCTTCCTTTTTTTCTTTCTTCCTTCTTCCCTCCATTCCCTCCATTCCCTCCCATATTTCTTCTTTCCTCCTCTCCCTTCCTCCTTTCCTTCCTTCTTTCCTCCATTCCTTCATTCCTTTTCTCCTTTCATCATTTCATCCTTCCTAGACTGCTCCCTTCTCTCCTTTCCCTCTTTCTTTTCCTCTCCATTCTTTTCCTCCTTTTTGCCTCCCTCCCTTCCCTCCTTCTCTCCCTTCTTCCTTCCTCCCCTATTTCTTTCCTTTCTTACCTATCCTTTTCCCTTTCCTTCCTTCTATCTCCTTTCCTTCCTTCTTTCCTTTCTTCTTTCCTCCTTCCCTCCATTCCTTCTCTCCTTTCTTTCCTTCCTTCCATCCATTTCCTTCCTTCTTTCTTTCCTCCATCCCTCCTTTCATCCCTCCCTTCTCTGACTCTATATCTGGAGCTATAAAAGTGAACAGTGTGGAGATAAGGCATTGCATTCTCCTTAGGAAAATGTCTAGGGTTGCAGTGAGGGTCCTTGGCCTTTGACAGAGGCCTTCCTCATTTCTGCAGAGTGTCATCCACTACATAGGCCTTGCCCTTGGAAATGAATTTACTGACTGCCTACTTCCATTCTCCTCCTCTGCTCTGGACCAAGCTGGAAGTTTCAACCTGATATATCTTGGCATGGGATGTCCTTCTCTCAGAGTACATGTCAGGGGCTAGACTGGTGGGCAGGCACTCCCTTCTGGCAGCACCTCAGCTCTGGGTCCCCCCTTCCTGGTGCCTCAGCCTCTAGCAACAGGGGCTGATGGTGGGCAGTGGCTGTTTAGCATCATGTGCATACCAAGCAGTCACCTTTGACCTGCTGGGTTGCCATGGTGACAGTAGCACAGAGCATATTTGTCAGAAAGAGCAAGAAGGGGATGTGTGTATGTGTGTGTGTGTGTGTGTGTGTGTGTGTGTGTGTGTGTGTGTGTGTGTGCGCGCAAAGGGGAGGAAAAGAGAAGGAAGGGGGAAGAGAGAGAGAGGGTGAAACAAAGACAGAGAAGGGGAGAAGGGAGACAGGATGGGAGAGAAAAAAGAGAAAGAAGGAATAAAAGAGAGAAACGAAGAAGTGGAAGGGGAAGGAGGGAGGGGGAGAGAAGCTTTCTGGATCTAAGTCTTGTCATGGAGATACTTGCCTTCTGCTTGCTAGGCTATTATTACAATCTTGGTGTGAAGGATTAAACAAACACTCTTGACTCTATCACAACATACATGATAAGAGGGATAGAGTTTAACCAGGAGTCTGAGCTCGGGGGAAACAGCACATTTGGAAGAAGCCCTGAACTGTGAGCTAAGATACAGCTGATACTGTGGGGTGGTGGGAAAAGAGATGTATTGGGCAACTGAGGAATTGCATTTGATCCTTGCCTATGCTTCTTAATGCCTGTGTGACTTTGGACAAATTAACTTTCTTTCCTTCTCTGTAAAGGGAGAGGGTCCAAGTAGATGACCTCTAAGGTCCCTTCCAGCCAGAATCTCTAATGCCACCTATGACCTAGGTTCTATACTTTAGAGTCTGCCATGAAGTCACTGGGTGACTTGGAACAATCGATCTGTCTCTTCCGTTTGGGTCTGACTTTACTTCCCTTTACTCTAAATCCTGTGATTTGCTCTGATTCTTACAACAACCTGACTGGGATTAATAATACCTTGCCTCCTTCTCAGTTTGTTGGGGGAATCTGAATAAATTATAGGTTCATAAGTTCAGATGGAGAAGATCTTAGAGTTTATCAGGTCCCATTTCATTTTACAGGTGAGGAAACTGAGGCCCAGAGAAGTTGAAGAGATTTGCTCAAGGGCCCACAGGGAGTCAATGGCAAAGGTCAGAATTTGAATCCAGGACCCCTGACCCCAAACCTCATTTGTGTTTCACATGAGAGAGTTTGAAACCTGACTCTACTACTTACTACCTTGGTGAGCTTCTACTCACTGGGCCTCAGTTTCTTCATCTGTAAAATGAGATGGTTAGACTAAATGACCTCTGAAGTCCCTCCCTGATCTTAGTCCATTATCCTAAGAGCCTGTGATCATTTGGCACAACCCTCTTATTTTGCAGATGAGGCAAACAACCCACCTCTATGAGACTTCCCAACACTTGGTCACCCATTAATTTCAGAGTCTCCACACCAAACTCCCTTACCTCTAGGGCCTCAAATCAATGGTCCTCTTCTCTTAGGATCTCAACTCATGACCCCTTTCCGTGTTTGGTGTCTGTATTCACATAGCAAGAAAGGCGACATGATATGCCAGAGAGAACACTAGAGTTAGGGCTAAAGGGCCCATGATATCGCATGACCTTGGGGCATGTCCCCTCTCTGGACTTCATCTTCTTCTGTAAAAGGAGGGCACTGGGTTGGTCCCTTTTGGTTCCGTATGTTTTCCCCTCCCACCTCCTCCTGGCACCTCCTGCTACCCTTCTTCCCAGACTCATCTTTCTCATATTCTCTTACTCTGTTATCACTTACCAGCTCTTCCGTCTCTCCTAGTGCTTCCAAGGATTTGCTCCACTCATCCATTGTCTCTATCTTTTCCTGTCCTCCTTCTGTAGCAGCCTCTGCTCTCTTTCCTCAGTGACATTTAGCTTTCATTCTATTGGACAGCGTCAGTGGGTCCAGCTGGGAAAATTGCCAGCTGGGCGGCATGTAAGTCAATTAAATTACTTTTGTTGCCCTTGGGTTCTCTTTCTTGCCTCTAAGATAAAATACAAACTCCTCATCTCCTCACAAGTTCAAAGACCTCCCCAATCTGGTATCATCTTACTTGTAGCAGGCTTGTCACATGCTAGTAGCTATCTTACACTCTTTCTTTAGTCCAATCAAACCGGCTTATTTCGCCGTTCCCAAATTTCTTTCCAAGCCTTGCTTCCATTCCTTTGCATAAGGCCTGCTATGACTGAAATGAACTCCTTCATCTCTACCTCTTAGAATCTCTAGATCAATTAATCAATTAGCACTCATTATTAAGTGCCTACTATGTTGCAGTCACCATACCAGACATTGAGGACGTGAAAGCAAAAATGAAATATTCCCTGTCATTAATGAGTTTACCTTTCGGGGAGGGGAAACAATGTGTCTCTCCTATGTAGGTAGACCAGGAACTGGATCTATGATTTAGTGGTGGGGAACCTTCACCTACTAAGGCAGATTGGAACCTTTTTCTGCAGTTTAAAGTCTTAAAGCTATGCTTAGAGATTTGCAATAGAATGAGCAATGGTTTGGAAGTCAGAGGTCTTGAATTAAATCCAGGCTTTGCCACTTTGGAGCTGTGTGTCCTTGGGCAAGTCATTTAATTAACCTCTCTGGCTTTCAGTAAAATAAGTTGCAGATCAGTTATTCTTGACCTGGAGTCCACAGACCTCACAAAAGACCTGCAGCTAGATTTTTTGGGCAACAGTCCATGAATTTGGATGGGAAAAATACAGTTTTATTTACGCTAGGTTTCTTTTGTAATCCTCTGTAGTTTCTTTTATGCATTTAATACCATCATTCTGAGAAGGGGCCAAAGGCTTCCAAACTGACAAAGGGATCCAAGGCACACAAAAAGGTCATGACCCCCCAAGTTAGAAGAACTCTGAGCCCCTCCCAGATCCAGATCCTAGGATTTCTTGCCTCTCTTCCTCTTGTCTTTCTTTCCTTGCCCCCTCCATGTAGATTGTTGTCATCCTCTCTCTTTATCCAATACTGCTGAGAAAGGCGAGAGGAAGATGTGGGGCTTTGTGGGAGTGGGGAGATGGGCCACAAATCTGAAAGGCTCAGACATATTTCCTGAACTGCGGAAACTATGTACCACCGAAAGGAGTTGACTGCCAAGATTTAGCAAGAAGGGAAGCCTAGTATTGGGTACCATTTCTTTCTTTCTTTCTTTCTTTCTTTCTTTCTTTCTTTCTTTCTTTCTTTCTTTCTTTCTTTCTTTCTTTCTTTCTTTCTTTCTTTCTTTCTTTCTTTCTTTCTTTCTTCCTTCCTTCCTTCCTTCCTTCCTTCCTTCCTTT